CGTACAGTGCTTCAAGCATAGACTGAAAGGAAGAATAAGAGCTGAATATAAGTACTATCTCCTATGTCACGCGCTCAAAGTATTCATCACCCAGTGGTGCATCAACGATGTCTTAGCTACCATTGATCAAGACGAACTTATAATATCGCCAAATTTGACTTAAATGGACAATAATTTTCAGCTGTTTTAACTCGTTTTTTATATCGATATTTTGTACACGTTATATTCGATTATGTTTTATACTTACTGATATATGATTTCGTTTTTATTTAAACTAGACAATGTTATCTGATTTTTTTTAACCGAGAATAAAATATTCAAATGTATGTATGTATGTATGTATGTATGTATGTATGTATGTATGTGTATATGAACGTGTCTTCTTTGAATATCTTCAGAACCACTTGTCGATTTTCAATGAATCTTGGTACATATATGCACTGGGACAATGCATAGACATAATAATCGGCTAATCAGGGTTTCCACTGATATCCCCAAAACCACTTGACAGATTTCAGTTAAACTTATTACATAGATGCCCTGCATAGTTTTGGGTTAAAATCTGTTTATACTGCTAATTTTCAGGTTTTCGACAGTTATCCCAAGAAGTACATGACAGATTTCAGTGAAACTTGGTACATACATGCACTGGGACAATACACAGACCTGATTAGTTCTGGATTGAAACCTCTGTACACGGGTGCTTTTGGATAATACACAGACCTCACGACTTTAGGGTTGAAATCTATGGAATTACATAATTTTCTGGTATATTGTTCCACAAGATTTAATATAAACTTGGTACATGGGTATCACAGACTGGAAGCTATTCTCCATTTCAATAGTGCATCTCAAGGACAGAACTAGCTATATTTGCAAATATTAAATCTGCAATTAATTTTATTTATCTCTTAACAGAACTTGAATACCCAAGAAATGTTTCTAAACATCTCCTTAATTTGCTATTAACTTCAGGTCTTCAACAAAATTTTAAGGAAGATATGAACAAATTGCGTAGATTTCAATTTGTTATTGTTAACAAAAGTTGACCTTATAATAACGATACAGAGTGAAAACTTATTATTTATTAATGTAAACGTGCATTTGATAAAGCAAATATGATACATGTATTATGTTCATAAATGCATTAATATTTCATATGACTATGCCGTTGTAGGGTTAATGTAAAATTTTAAGTAAAAGCTGCGGCTTCTATTAAAATGGTAGAATGCAAGAGAGGGGATGCGGCTTCTATTAGAGCACCTACACATATGAGAAATGGTGAATTTTTGATTCTCAATTATTCAAAAATAATGGGTTTGACTTCTATTAGGGATGCAGGTTCTAATACAGATTTTACGTTACTAGACTGCACATCATTTGCCCAAATTCTATTCTCCTCTTAGTCAGATTAACTAAATGCCATGCTCTTTATTTTATATTGTGTTTACTAATTTTAGTGTCCTCTGAATTGTTTGTATCACATTGCTTACCATATGTTTGATGTTCCATTTGTAAAGCTACGTTGTTAAAAACTGGGCCGTCTTTTATGTGAATACGGTCACACATGTTGTAGGATTACACATTTAATCCTCCAGGCACCGTAATATTCAAATACTATCTTCATATAGGTATGAACTAGGGAACTGTAACAACAAGTCTGTGATACACATTTTGTGTCATTGAACTGGAGACCTCTTTTGCCATGCTATTATTTTCTTCCGTTTGCAAATATCTGATCTTGGATTCTTGTTATTCTAGGATTGTTTGTTGTTGAAAGCGACCTCTCAGGCGGCGACTTCCACACTAGAGCAGTGCTTGTCGATATTACAGCAGCAACATCTCGTACAGACGCAGTCCGCTGGTATACCTGCTAGTGCGTCCATGCAATGGATGGCGGAACCAGCATACAGTAGTAGGTATGCTAGACAGTTATTAAATTTCTCCATTTGACTTTTAACTTTAACTTTTAGTGTGATTTTTTCCATACCCTATGTACTTGATATGTTTAATACTGGATTACAATTAACATTCTCAACAGTGACATAACCACATAATATGTTCAGACGTGATCCCAACCAACTGAGGTCTGTTTAGAATACCTTCTTTAAATAGATCATAGTATTTTTTGTGGTACTCTGTTCTAATCCAGTGTTTTGTTTATTCTGTACACGCAGCTATCCAATGTTGGCTAAAAATGACTTTAAGCAAATATCAGCCAAACAAAATTCAGTTGGAGAGTACCGTGTCTGAACATTTTATGAGACTGTCTCCTTGTTATATTATGATTATTGTTATTTAGATTTTTAGACTAATTAGAATATTCTTTTTAATTATCAGGCCAAGACAGCAAGCAAGAAAATCCAAACCTGAATCAACTTACTCGGGTGATTTTAATTCCGACGATATCATGCCAAATCAAACTGAAGGTGGGAATTTATTGAATTCTACATAAAAAATTCAAATACTACTCATTGTGGTGAAACGCATGAATCTGTACATTATACATGTTTTGTTTTATAATACTTATTTATTGATTTCAGTTGAGATAGACCACGATAGGGAAGTGATGGACAGTGACAAAGATGATGATCAAGAGTTGGGTGGTGTGGAAGAGCATAAAAGTATCATCTTACATTTGTTGTCACAACTCAAACTAGGCATGGACTTAACCAAGGTACATACAATGTTATCTAGTAAACTACCAAAATAAAATAAAATAAATTCTCTCAAATTGGATTAATTATTATCAGGATTAAGATATGTTTTACTTCTGTTCTGTGTCATACGTGGTTAATGTCTATACATTATTGCTGATACATGCATAATGTCAGTGCATTATTGCTGGTATATACATAATATCAGTATATTATTGCTAATACATGCATAATGTCAGTGCATTATTGCTGGTATATGCATAATGTCAGTCCATTATTGCTGATATATGCGTAATGTCAGTTCATTATTGCTGATATATGCATAATGTCAGTATATTATAATTGCTGATATATGCGTAATGTCAGTATACTATTGCTGATATATGCATGTCAGTCCATTATTGCTGATATATGCATAATGTCAGTATATTATAATTGCTGATATATGCGTAATGTCAGTATACTAATGCTGATATATGCATGTCAGTCCATTATTGCTGATATATGCATAATGTCAGTATATTATAATTGCTGATATATGCGTAATGTCAGTATACTATTGCTGATATATGCATGTCAGTCCATTATTGCTGATATATGCATAATGTCAGTATATTATTGCTGATATATGCGTAATGTCAGTATACTATTGCTGATATATGCATGTCAGTGCATTATTGCTGATATATGCATAATGTCAGTGCATTATTGCTGGTATATGCATAATGTCAGTCCATTATTGCTGATATATGCGTAATGTCAGTTCATTATTGCTGATATATGCATAATGTCAGTACATTATTGCTGATATATTCATAATATCAGTGCATTATTGCTGATATATGCATAATGTCAGTACTTTATTGCTGATATATGCATAATGTCAGTATATTATTGCTGATATATGCGTAATGTCAGTATACTATTGCTGATATATGCATGTCAGTCCATTATTGCTGATATATGCCTAATGTCAGTTCATTGTTGCTGATATATGT